AACCGCACACGTATGTCTCGTGGCCGTGTTTTCAAGTCGCATGCAGGCTTCCTGAGCTTGGCAGGCAGCCATTCCGTGGCCTTCCTTCGCTGCCTCCAGAACGGCATCCAGGGGCCAGATGGGTACCATTGCAGCATCGCCAAGAGCGACCCGGCTTGGAAGGCCATAGAGGAGGGCTGGACCTGGGTGGTGCTGGCGGCCTCCATCGAGGAGGCCATCCCCCAGCTACCGAACTTTATCCAAATTGCCGCCAACAGCACCAACTCCATTTCCAAAGCCATCAATGAATTGGAGGTGGCCCTCCAAATCGCCAGTGGCTTCGAAAAAGGATTGTCGCTTCCAGAGGCAGTCCGCCAAGCAAGCCAAGGCGATGTGCGATGCCGGGCCAGCATTCCCCACATTGCCAAATTTGTGCAACAATTTGGAGGCGGCTCGCATGGCTTTCCATTGCTCCATTTCCTCGCCAATTTCTCCAGACAATTTAATGCGACCTTATTGGTGGGGCAGGAGGTGATGGCCACATTAGCCACCATGGATTTCCGGGATGCGACCTGTATGTTCCCCATGCTGAGGGTCGCCTGCTGGGCCACACTTCTCACATCTGCCCAAGACCCAAGACGGGTTTGCGAAGATTATTACGAGATCCGATTTGGAGAAGTTGAGGAGCGATTCCATGCGAACCCAAGTGGAGCAGGCCGAAACCATCCTCCAGGACGCATGGAAAGTCCAGGTGTCGCTGGGCGAAACCCACCATCAAGCCCACATGATCAAATGCTATGGGCGACTCAGTGTCAGAACCATTTTGTGTTTGGTGGGGAAACAGAAATCTGGCCGGGACGGAAACCATTGGCCGACCCTGCAAGCCATTTTGGGAGCTTACACGAAAGAGGTGCAAGATGCAGCTGGAACCAAGGCCACCACCAGTGCACAGCATGAGCCCCAATCGGACATGAAGGTCACGGACGTCTTGTCGGCCAGTGCCAAGACCATCGCCTTGCTCCAGAACCACCACATGGAGATTGGCAAGTTGCTGCTTGGATTCGAGGGCAATATAACATCTAGACATGTATAGAGCATTTCTGAAATATTCGTAGATATATGTCCTTGCTGTGGAAAAGAAGAGGACCCTGCCTCAGGTACACAACCAGAGAGCACGGCAGCAAAGTCTTCCAGCTGACGCAGGTGGACGACGACCATGCGAGGATGAGTCACATGTCGCTTTTTGCTGGGCAAGAAGACATCCAGGTGCCGCTCCAGAAACTGGCGTTGTGGAAAGTGACCAAGCTGCTCATGCCACGGCTGTGCCCATCGGAGCTGGCCACTGCATCCATGGCGGCCAGTGTTCTTGTGGAAGAGCGGGCCAAGGTGGAGGTCCAGCTAGCTCTCCACAAAGCGGCCGAGAAACACCATCTTGACAGCGACCACCTTGCCTTCGGCCAGAACCCTCAGGGTCTCTTTGCTGCCAAAAGCATTCGCAAGACCATTCGCTTGATTCCATTAGGCACGGTGAACAAGGCGAAGTCCAACAAGGACACGAAGCTCACAATTCACCATGCGGGACTCAGCTGGACCATTGGGCCATTCCGCCAGAATCTGCACTTCGAAGAAGACAGCCCAGCCTGCTTGGTTCCATACTTTTGGTGCAAGCCCACCAGCGAGGCCGATGAGGCCAGCATGGTCTTTTCCAGCATCGTCGAGTCAGGGATCACCATTCCATGCTTGGAAAACCCAGAGCCGCTGCAGCAGCACCAACAGCTCCAGTACCTGGCCGCGATTGCCGAGGTCTCCGAAGAAGCCCAGCCCGAGCATGCCCAGGCATCCGAAGCATCGGGGCCGTCGGAGCCCAAGGCGAAGGCGAAGACCAAGGCGAAGGCCAAGGCCAAGGCCAAGGGGACAGAGACGTCGGAGCCTCCGTCCAAGAAAGCCAAGAAGTGAAGACCCGCCAGCAACCCCAAGGGAGCGGGGTCCACTTTTCTCTTTTAAAGAACCACAGACCCATGGCGACTTTCGAAGCAACCCGCCAGAGTTTTGCCCGAGAAGAAATCATCGTCCTTGCCGCCCAGGGTGCATTTGTATAGAGCTGTCCATAAACGTGCCACGTGGCCTTTGCATTTTCATGATATAATAAGAATTGCCGGCCATAGCAGCCATTGGCCACAGTGGACTATATAGGAACCTTCGCTTGCCATGGAGCAACAAGCACTCGTGCCCACAACCACGGCTGAGCCATGCTCCACCCCCGGCTGTGTTCGGTATTATAGCAATGTCGGGTGCACCAAGTGCTGCCGCAAGCGCGATGGCCGTCGCCACTCCACCAGGTGCGAGGCCAGGCAGCCACATCTTGGTCCCCGTCCCACGAGCCATGCAGCAGCCACTCCTCTCCGTTTGACTCCAAGCTGGATTCCATTGTGGTTTGGAGCCCACCTCCGGGTGCGAACTTTTCTGCTCCATGCCCACGAGACCAAGGAGGACCTGGCTTCCGACAGAGCCTTCAAGTTTTGGTTACGAGCCCAAAAGGCCGCTGTGGATCCAGACCAGGGCTGCAATGGCGAGCTGGCCACAGTCATCGACCAGCTTCTGGCGGAGGAGCCATGATCCAAGCAAGGCTAAAATGGTATCAGAGACATGCAGCTTGCCATGTTGTGTATATTGAGGATTTCTACATGCAACTGTACAAGATTTGTTTACTTGTGTGTCCACGTGGGTTTTCATATATATATATATATATGTCTGTATCTATATATCTATCTATATATACACACACACATATATTTATTTATTTATTTATTTGTTTATTTATTTATTTATAGACATAGATATATAGATAGATAAATAGATAGATAGATAGATAGATTGATAGATAGATAGATACTTGGAATATATGCATTATATATGTATATATACATATATATATACATGTATATGTAGATAGTTCTAGTTGCACGTTTATATACATACATACATACATACATACATACATACATACATACAAACACACATACATACATGCATGCATGCATGCATACATACATACATACATACATACATACATATGTTTATGCATAGCTGTTTTAATTTTCTGAATTTTACTCTTGAATTGGAGGATATAGTCTTATAATGTGATATAAATATTCATGATTAATAAGGTCTACATGTATATTTCTAAATATATTCTCCATAACCTTTATAGGTGTATCTTCTTGCCCTGTGGCCTGCACCATTTGTAGCTTATATGTTGCCAGACATGGCTTCGAAGTGTCCATGATGGCCAGCACATCCTGTGATAAAAATATATTGTATTAAAAAAAAAGAGTTCATACATTTATATTTGTATAACTATAGATTCTTTATAGAACCTCTATAGGGATATCTTCTTGCCATGTGGCCTGCACCGTTTGTATAGGTATGTTGCCATATGTGGCTTCCAAGTGTCCATCATGGCCAGCACATCCTAACTACCCAAGAATATTTTCCCAAGCTTGTTTTCCAGACATGCCTGCCATTCTGGCTTTGCATGTGCAGACTTATTTGGGCAGCCATTTCTGCT